GAGGGTTTGGATCTTTGGGACCATTGGTTAAGGGGTTCGCAGAGCTGTCGCCACTTCTACTCATCGAGGACTCCAACACTCGGATCGAGTGGTGATTAAAGCGTTTAATGAGCGCCTGATTTGAATTGGAGAGTGAATTCAAAGAATCGCTTTTATTCTTATCCTTGTCTTCGCGACTCTCGAGTGTCGTCCCGCAGACTCTGTCCTCCATTGAGGACAAGTCGAGAAAGGGATCGATAATACCTTTTCTTAGCGCACTTTCGATGTCATGATTAGAGTAGTCATTAAAGAAGTCTTTGGTGGTTGAGTTGCGGTCTCTGTGGAAGTAATGTGACTGAAAGAATCGCTGCCAAAACTCCTGTTCCGTCACTTTGTGGGGAACGCTCTCGAAGTGCTTCCGCTTTACGGCGGGATATGTGTTGAAAATGGCGTCAATTATATCTTTAGTGATATTGTATTTAATGCCATTACATCCGTCCACTTGCGGCGAAATGTCCGCCAGAAAGGCCGCCGAAACGCCAACCCTTTGGCCGTTCGGTTCGCTCTTATCTACATTTGGGTCAAATTCAACGCACAATCAATTCACTGCCACAACACTATCACACCATTTGTTTACAATAGATTTGATAACAATAACTAATTGACTGATAATTAATCGCACGATTGATAACAAAATGAGTTCAAAGTCATGGAAATCCACTCCTAATCTAAGTTAAGCTCAATACCAGTAAAAGTCATGCTTTTCGAGACATACCTCTCAAGTCAATCCTCCTGTTGGTCGCATAGTTGGCCCAAAACTCTTCGGCGGTAATGATGTTAGAGGTGACCAACTCTTTGTAGAGCCCGAAGAGCTCCGGGTCTTCGTTGAGGACACGGCTCTTCTCTTGGAGATCTTTGGATATCATTCGCTTGAATTTGGGTAACAATTGCTGTAAGAGCTCCTTCACTTCATTCCTGTCATTGAGTTGACTCTCGACTCCATTGGCGTTCACGAAGTGAAAGGTATCGCTCCCGGAGTCCAACACCACCTGCAACTGGATCTTGGGCTTGCCTTCCGGTGATATCTTCTGAGTCTTAATGTCGGCGTATTTGTGGGAAATAGTGAACGAGTCCTTCCCGTTGGGCATCCATGCGATGCGTTCGGCCATCATATAGAGGGTGCCGTCGGTCTTCTTCATCCTCACCGCCTCCACCACTCGCAACACGTCCTCCGATGAGGTCGTCATCGCCGCAGACGGCGATCACGAAGCGCTTCCGCGATCGCACCAACGGATCGCTAATCAGTTCAATGAGTCATTAGTTATGAAACACTCGGAGGAATGCATTGATACAGTGGTTGATAACTTGATAAATGATATGATTATGAAAACTATGCGAAAAGTGTTAAAAATAGATTGAATGGCGAAATAATTAAATGATTTCGCAGTGAATGCATTGAAAGCATAGATTGAATGCAATGTTAATGAGTGGAGAGTGTATTGACTGCAAACTCACCCAACGCTCAGTCGATGCGTGAGTTAATCGGTTTAATGGATAAGACAATTGAGACGATTTAGTGGCAAATGTGATGACATCTGCATCACAAGACACTTAGAAGGGATGATGACATGCAATGAGTGGTCAGTGACGGGTCGGTTGTCGTGTAAATACGGTTAACCTATGCCTGCGATCACCAGTGAGTGTCCGTCAGCCATAAGACATGGTTTGACTGAACGCTTCACATATAGTATGTATGGAGTGGTGAATAGCATAGCGTATAGTATGGCGT